TATTATTTCTGGATTATCCTCCCATGGCACACTGAGCTTTCTAGCACCTTTCATCAGGGCGCCATGTTCTGCTCACACAGAAAGCTGGGTGAATTACACAGAAGAAAAAATAAATAGAATAATTTATGGCCTTAAGGCTTTTATAGCTTTGCTCACAAAAGAGCTCTAAGAGTTGAGCTGAAAATACCTATATATATACTCCGTCGTCTGGAAATGGGAAACTACTTAAATCAGCTTTTCACTAACGTCCATAGCAACACATGGATTTATTATACAATACAGTCCCTTTCATTCTTTTATGCTGTTTGGACCGAGGCTTCATGCTGCTCGGTATTATGCTGTACTTTCTCTTGGTTCCCAAATGCAACAACCCCTGCCTGTTTACAGATAAAAGCAATAGGCCATATCATAGCTTTAACCTGCTGATCAGGCCTCTCAAATGGAAAGAGCCAGTGGTTTGTGTTGCATGGGAGGAAGAAGAAGGAAGAGAAATGGACCAGGGGTTAAGAACACCTGCTGGAGGGTTGGAGAAAAGATAAACGAGCTGTCTGTGTTGCTGGGGGGGGGAGTGGGGAGTGGGGTGCGACAAAGAAGCCTTGTCCATTTTCTTATACGTTACAGTGTTGACTTCCATTACTGAACCCTGGCTGAAGGCGGCCATGACAAATGGTGTAGGAATCGGTAATGGCATACATAACACAGTTGGGGCACCTGCGGCATGTGGGGCGGACGAAGCACGTTGTTAGCTGGAATTACAGATTACTTACTGTAACAGTGTGGAGCTTTGTAGCCTTACAGGTGTTGACTAGCTGAGTAACATCCAGTACAGCCAGACAGAAGTGGTGATGGTTTGCCCTTTTATTTGCTGTCTTGATCTGGAGCACAATGAAGGCAGTGGTGGTGAACCAAAACAGTAAGCACATTACTGGTGTAAATAATAATGACAACTGAATTCAAATGAGCTGCCTCAGTCTCAGGGTTCAGGTATCACAAATAGAATTCCACTCTCACACTTCCAAGCCATCGTTAATGTTATTAGCAACACCTGTGCTTTCCTGACGATGACTAATAGCGCCCTGTGACATCATCAGCGTAATGCGATGAAACTCAGTGCACCCGCACAGCTGGTAGTAATTATCTGCTGTCTCCTAGCATCTCTACCTGCTGATAGATTTAATTAAAAACCAAAAACTGGAAAGGTTAAGGCTTTTTTATGGGTAGGAATTCTTTCTTTCATTTTCTCATTATCTGTGTATTTCCTGTTCGTTTTGTTCCAAAAGCCCATCCCCAAAGTACAACAATAAAAGAGGAACCTACTCACGATCCCTGATATGATTAAAAAGGGAACTAAGTGAAAGTACTGTACTTAAGTACCATTTTGAATTACTTATACTTTACTTGACTATTTCCTCCTCCTTTATAATTATTATAATACATTTTAAAGCGATTTGTTTTACGTTTTCCGTAATGCAGCATCTCGAACGATTTAACTGTTTATGGTACAAAGAGGAAAAAATGATCTTATATTTTAAAAAGTAAATAATTTGTGGTTCAGAATGTAACTTATATGCTACTTAATGAAACATTATAATACAAATATACATATATAAATATATTTTTATCACATTTTGAAGTACTTTGACTTTAAATTGGCTTATAGTATTTTTACTTGAGATTTTGAAAACAGCAGTTTTTCTAGCAGTATTTTTAAATGAATATATAGGTACTTTTACCTTAATAAGAGACCCCAGTCCCTATCTTCCACCACTGTAAATATATGAGGTTTTTCTCTTCCTCATACCCAGAGAGTATCCTCTAACTGATATCCATTTCAACAGCTTTCATTAATATTCAGGGAACATGGCGTATTCCTGTGTGCGCTCTCGCTGGGTAAAATATTTAAAAAGCCTCATGGGCTTGTGGACGGCCCGAGAAAAAAACAAATACTTTCTGCTTCTACACAAGTCCACGTCTCTGAAGGTTAAAAAAAGACGAGCGCTGTAAAGTTATGGCAGCTTCTGTTGCTATGGCAATCACTCCTGAGCCTCTTACTCATCCCGGTACGAGATTGTGCGAGTTTGAACTTCCTCAGGGCTTCTTGTCCGCCGAGGAATTTGATTCATGTATACGCTGGGGAAGCGGACTTGCCATTGTTTGTTGTTTTATTATTCATCTGCCTTTTTTAGTTCCCTTCGCCGAGTACTCACAGTCCAGCTCGCCTCTGCTTAAGATGTGAAAGTGTTTCAAACTTCAGTGGAGAGCGAAGAGTCCAGAGGCACATATAGCCTACTGTTTATCACGCTGCATATTTAATACCAGAATCCATTTTTTAAAGATAGTTTTTATGCCTTTGTCTGAAAGTTGAAAGCCCTAGACCTTTTTATTGAAGAAATCACACATAACATCATGTTTTTCCCCAATATTTATTTTGGTTAAATAATGGACATTTTGCATGAAAATACTGCACATGTAGCCAGTAACCATAATAACTATATCAGACTGGATATACAGTGAAAGCAAAACATCACAAACATCAATAACCTCACATTTAGAACCTTGCACAGACATGACAGTATTTCCTGTTTCAACTAACAGACATTTACACATATTATAGTATTACAATGTAGCACGAGCAGGCACCAGATGTGGTCAAATGTAAAAAGAATTCAGCAGAGACTGCTTTAGTAAACATTTAGCGCGCACACACACAGACATCTTTCACCATCAGGGAAGGATGTCCAACACCATAAATACGATTTCCTCACCTCTTGCTCAGTTTGTTTACCGTTTCTTCTCTCAGAAGGCTGAGACTTACATGTTCACACTTTTCCTCAAAAGGTGTGAGAAACAACTCAAATCTTCCCGTAAAGAAAATCGAGAAAAGAAAGCTAACAAAGACACAATTTCCCTTTTTTTCAACAAGGAGGTACTCTGTAAGGCTGAGTAAAACATGAACATGGAAACCATTAGCTATGTTTCTCAGGTGCAAAACCTGTAGACCAAAAACAAAATGTTTCATTCTGTGCCTGAGGTAAAACTACAAAAATCACTCGCCATAATTATGAATTATTCCACAAGAAGAACAAAAATACAAATCCAGCAGAGGCACATTTTACGGGCAGCCGTTCCCCGGGAAGCCATTATAAATAATTGAGAAACAATTTCTTCTAATTTACTTATGAGAGATTTGTCTACCGGCGGGAACATCTCCCAGCAAACACTTTTCAGGAATGAAGAAAAACAGCTTTGTTTGTGGCATTTTTAAGTTTTGTAAGCTTAAAACGACTGTAATTATTCAGTGAATACATAAAAATCCTCCATAGTACGAGCAAAATGATAATGAGCATCTTAAAGAACCGGCCCCATGAATCACCACAGACATGACAGGGTGTCCGCGGGGTCTTAACAAGTATTAAAAGTTGATGAATCAATTTAGCGAAAATTAAGGCTATTAAAAAGTATTAAACGGCATTTTCCAAGGTATTACATTTTGTAGCTTGTTTTCAATAACTATATAAATTGTCCAAAGAGGTTGTATTCTACAGTCTGCCTGAATGTAATCATTGCGTAGGTGTGTAGCGTGATTCTTTGTAGTTTATATATGGCATCCCGTTGGATTTGACGTCATCTGAACAGGACATCGCGCGCTCACTGCTTGATAGCGCGCGAAGGTCCGTTTACGCCGGTTGTTAAACAACATCGTTATGGGGAAATGCAAGTCTGCGTCCAAATGGTTGGACGATAAGGAGGAAGGACACTCAATACTGTATATAGTAAATGTGAGGTAAAGTGTGTCGCCAATGTAACCGGTTAAAACTCGAAGGGGCGATGAGGTCTTAAAATGTATGGAAAGGGTCTGGTCTTAAAAGGTATTACATTTGACTTCAGGATTCCTGCATATACCCTGCATGAGGAGGATCCTATATACAGAAAAGTGACATTTATGAAATATGACGCTACAGTTGATATGTTGTGCTGTCCCTTCTTTAGTGTCCCCTCGAGACGGTCACAAATTGTTCCACATGTTTTGTTTGGCGTAAAGTGTTTTGCTCTTTTTTTTCCTTGTGCCGCCTGGAGCGCCTAATGGGATTCTTGTTGAGGGAGGTGGAGATAAGAGAGGAAGCGGCTGTGCTCCCGTGCCTCCGTCTCATTTCACTTTCAATTTGCATCAGGCACTGTTCTGGGGACAGGGTAGGAATTTGATTCCTCACCCCTAAAGTGGATTTGTCTGTAAACTAACTTGGTAAATAATCAATTACTTTTGTAGCCGGCTTTTTAAAGATAGGTTTACAGTACTGACCAGAGGACTGCAGTGGTGGAGGTGCTCCATATATCCTTAAAGGAATAATTAGACATATTGGATTGTATATTTTAAGGTTGTGGATTTGTTAAAAAGAAAACCAATCGCTCTTAAATTCTCTGATTGCAATTGCGATATGATCTGAAACATCATTGAACAGAAATATTTAAAAAAATGTAAGGATCTGGAATACTTCATTTAGATATTTTCACATATTACTGCGATTTGGATATTGCACTTGTCCATATTTTGCTACAGTATATCAATAATCTGATATATTAAGCTGCCCTAGTAAATTGATACCGCTAAATATGAAGCTAAAGCAACCGTTAGCTTAGTAAGTAGAAGCAGGGGGATACAGCTAGCCCTACGGTTTAAAATCCCAAGTAAAATGTCATTTAATCATTTCTAAAAACACGGTACGGAATTGTGTTTTTTTTAATACCGTTTTGTGTTGGCAGGGTGGTTCATTTAAACATTTTTAAGGTCTGATAAACTTTCCCTTACTCCAACTTTACAAACAAGATATCACGTGTAAGTTATTAAGCTAAGGAATACTTTCTTAAACTTTGGACCGAGGCGAGCATCGTGGAGATTTGCTGCTTTTTAATAATTCATAACCTGCTGGCCTGCCGAGGTGAATATAAAAACTGATATAATATTCAACAAAAACAGTTCATTTTAGAGAGCAAATCTCTACCTCTCCGGGAGCTTTTACCAACACTTTAGATGAGCAAGGTTACCTGAAAATGTATGCACTGCTCATCCATAATGCACCGAGATGTACTTAGTGAAGGTATGAATCTACAGGCAAAGAAATTACAAAATAGCTCTGGATAAGAAGCTTATAGTTATTATTTTTACTCAGCTGTAAGATCCTTAACCATGTGTTGCTCCAATTTGTAACACAAAAAAAACCTGTAAAAAAATAAATATTTGATGAAAGATAAAAGTGCACTAGTGAAAGAAAATCCTGACTAAATTCACGAGGCTGGCTCACAAAGATATGGAAATTGCCTCCTGCCTTAATTACAAAAGCGCACATGGAGTGCAGGCCGCCAGATGAGGTGTTTACAGTCAGCCTTCATGTAGGATTTTTGAGTGCCAATTGCCCTCCTGCCCCCTCTGCCACCGCCTGTAAACTGCTCTCGGACAGCGCTGGGCGCCTGCTAATCTAAGCTGTCACCCACACGCCATTTCCATTGATGTATTCATACGCCTCTGCACTGACGGGGATAAACAGGAGGGAGGTGGGTGTGTGGGTGGGGGGCTGCAGGGACGTGAATGCTCGGTGATGGAGGACATGAAGAAGAGGAGCAGACTTAAAAGTGATGAAATAACAGCCTTCACATGTAGGTCAGAAAGTATTACATCATACTGTTTAACACAAATCCAGATATTGTTGAGTTGTAGCGGTAACATTCAGAGTCTTCTTTATATATTTATACAATGTGAAAGTGTTCACTGCAACAGTATCATGGCCATATTTTGGCAGAATTGACTGACTTCAAATTAGGTAATGAGTCATTTGTAGTTTCATCGAGAACATCATGTCCTGTTTTTAAAATAATATCAACTGCTTGCTTATGGACCTAGAAATCATGATACAAAACAAGTCTATCTTAATATTGCAGACAGCGGTAAGCTTAATTAGCTAATCCTACTTTCCATGTTATTTGAATGCTTGATTCAGCAAACAAGATCTTTATGCTAAGCTAAGCTAACCAGCTGCTTGCTGTTACTTCATATTTAGCACACTCTCAGCAAGTAAGCGAATGGGCTGATATCCCAAATGGTTTGTCTCGTAAAAAGACTGTCTTGAACTATCATTTTCCTTTACTGCTTTTATTGTAATCGCTGTATTTCTATTATTGACAAACAACTCTTTTCAACTGTACAGTAGCTCAGGTTGAGTTCCTTGTCTCGAATGAAAGATGCTATTTAGGTTGTTGTTGTTGTTGTTAACGATTTGAAAGGCTCAGATGTGCAGCGTCAGAGGGGCTAGTTTTCATCAGTTTTCTGAAGACATAGCCATGAGTTTTGCAGGAGAGGAGAGGGTCCCTGAGAAACACCTCGTTAGTCTACGCCTGGAAACGGGCTCTTTGTACTTAGGTAATGTTCAGAGTAATTGGCAGCACTGCAGCGGAACGCAGCACTGGTACATAGAAGACACCGCAGAGATAATTGAGCAGAAAAGGTGAGTCTGACTTAAGCACTTCTCCGTGCCATGTGTAAGCAGGGGCAGACTGGAGCAACTGGCAAGTGCAATCAACCTTTCATAGATTGACTATGTGCGCAACAACTCAAATTCTGATGGTAATGTCTTCATCAGTATTCAACAGACATGTGTAGCAGTCGCAACAGGAGACTTTAGTTTGACGTTCCATGCTGCAGGGTGGTGCAACGCAAGAAAATGGCCAGATTCAAAACATTCTCATTTGTGCTGTGCCAAGAAAAAGGCTACAGTCCTTAGATGTTTATCGTCAAGATGAACCTTCCTTTTCAAACTGAACCGAGAAGCGGTGCTGCAAATGTTGGCGTAAGCAGAAAATATGCTGTACACACAAGAAGTGATGAAACATAACTCAATAAAAGCGAAACACTAAGTCAGCTAAGCAGGAAGTGTGTCCACTGTTCCCTTTTGAAATGTTTTGGTATAATAGACTGATTACTAAGAACCCAATGATTTTCAGAGTGGCCTTTAGTAGAATAATTCTGATAACTGCGAGAGATGCCCTGAATGACTAAAGATCGAACCACATTAAACACAAAAGGAAATTAAATCCATACTGATTCTTTACTGAGGTAATGAGTCCTCCTTGTTCAACAGTATGTCTCCATCAATAATATACCTTTGGCACAGTAAGAACATAAAGACAGTATTTACAAGTACACAGGATTTTTCAACGTCGCTAAACTGTCCGTCAGCCAGTGAACAAACTACCATGACAAACCAAGCCACACAAAGAGCACAGGCACTTGATGTTCTCTTCGGGATGCAACAAAGCGGATGCTGCTGATTAAAAAATAATGTCACTAAACCGATTCGCTTCACATTCTGCAACCATGCATGCAGAACTTGAAGGAGACCTTTGCGAAACAGCTTCATAAACCAGGGCAGGGACATTACTCAGAGAATGACTCATATCATATTAAGATGAAGATTGGAGAAAACAGATGGTGCACACAGTAACCCCTTTCCCCTGACACCGACTGATGCAAACACCCAGCTTTGCTTGAGGCTCAGCAGGTGACGGTGGTGTAGCTACATTTGGACATGGAGGTAGCCATGGACGTGCCCATGGAGGTGGCGTTGATGCCGTCTTCTCCTCCCTCCTTCTTCTTGCACCACCAGCGACAGAGCCGGTTGCGGCAGCAGCAGGCGAAGGTGGACAACAAGGCCTTGCGGAATCGCATGTTCATGAAGCAGTAAATGACAGGGTTGACGCAGGCGGAGGAGTAGGACAGCAGTTGGATGAAGGAGATGGGGGCCCCTGAGAGGGCTTTGGAGGCTGACTTCAGGTCGAACGCCTTCCAGGTGTTGGCCGAGTACAGCGGCATCCAGCAGATGAAGAAGAGCGCCACGATCACCATCAGCATGCGGATGACTCGCTTCTTGGCCTGCAGCTTGGCCTCCGAGGTGTTTTTCCGGGCGCGCTCAGATTTGGCCTGGGCGGCGGAGAGGGTGGGGAGCTCCACAGCGGAGGTGGGTTTTTTAGACACCTGGATGTAGCAACCATCGTCGTCATCGTTGGATACTGCAACCGTCTTTCCTACACCGTTCTTCTGGGCTGTGGAGGATCAAAAAGTTTACATTTGAAGAGCTTTGGGTGGATTTCATGGGGTTACCAAGAATTAAAGGGATAGTTCAGAGTGTTTTAAGTGACATTTGGATAGTCAGTGTTTGGACCTCCGTTCACTTCCAGTTTGGAGAAACCGACAGGTGTAGCAACACAATGGCTAAGCAATGTACTGCTGTGGAGGAGGGCAGCGGCTAAATAGATTTTAGCCACCTGAAAGAAAGGGCCAGCTAATAAATCCAGATCAATGTAAGAATACACTGTATTCACCATATTTTCACTGCTTTGCCTTTCAGTCAGACCTGTCCTAAAGGTGGGGAACTGTCTGTTTACAGTCCTCTCTTCAAAGCCATCATACTGGATTGACAAAAACACTTTTCTTTTTGCTTTTAAATCGATGGCAGAAAATGTATTAGTTGTAACCCTGGTGTTATTGTGTGCCTCTAGTTAATCCAAACTATCCCTTTAAAATGCAAATTTAAACTATAACACAAACAAACTAACTCATCAAGGCAGCGGTGTTCTTTTCAGTGGAGGCTGGTGGATTAAAAAGAAAGCATAAATAAAAGCTTTAGTCTCTTGTGCCAGAGGGCTGTCTGACTGCAAGGTTAAGCGGTGTAAATATTCAAAACATAGCATGGTGAAGGAAATAGATTAACTATAGATTAGTACCTCATTCAACCCCACTTCAAAACATCCTAACTTTCCCTTTCACACATCAAATAATGATCATTATAAATGGGAGGATTAATTACAACAAGAACAAAACACTGCCTAAATACCAAAGATAAAAGTTCCCCATTTGCTGGACAACAAAGAAATAAAACATCATGTTAAGCCGTAGATAGCAGCTGCTACCGAAGGCTATTTAAGATCATCTCAACCTTGATCAATCACACACAAGACTCCATGGAAACAGTTACGACAGCAGTTATAATTCACCTTAAGGGACCCTATTTCAGCTATAACGAAAATTAATGGAAAATACTAGCTGTAAGGCTGCAGAAAATTCCAAACACATAAAAATGACAACTGAGAAGAAGTCTAATTTTGTACATGACAGGTGCGGTACCTGTAGTTGCGACAAAGTATGTCTCTGCTTGAGGCAAAACAATAAAACGTCCTTTCACAGTCATGCTGCATTATTTGCTCGCCTGAGAATGGTGCAGACGTGTATTTAATGGAATTCTATCATTACTGGCAGCTGCCATGTTTAACCAGACCCTGCTTTCGAATGTCATTCACATACTAATCTATGAAAGTGTAAAAGATGTTTTCATCCTCAGTGTGAATTAAATCAATGCAAGCTAAAAGCCTGTTGCAGTTTGGATTGGAGTTGCGATGGTTCTCACCGGCAGGGGTGCTCTCTCTGTTCTGGCCCACCTCAAAGTGAATGCCTCGGAAGAGCTCTCTGGAGATCAGACCGTAGGCTACAATCATCACAACTCCCGGGATGAAGAACAGAGTGAACAGCAGCAGCACATACCTGAAAAACAGCCAGAGTGGAAAAGAGAAAAACAACTCAGAGGTGTGATGGTGTGCAATCAACCCCTGAAACCAAACAAACACATCTGATTTTTTAGCTACTTTCTTTCCTCATACGCCTTTGGCTATGTTGGGGCTGCTGGCGGTCTTGCAGATGGTTGACCCCTCCCCACAGCTCCATTTACCCCCGTGGTGTCTGGCAAAAGGTACTGCAGTATCCCAGGCCAGTTCTGCCCCTTTACCTGCGGGCTATCAAACTCTTCAGCATCCTGTGGTTTAACCTTCCTACTCTATATTTGATTTTTTTTTTGCTGCATATTTTTGCCCTGCTTTAAATCCTTTTTTGATTTTGATTTTTTAAATGTCCGTACATTTATATTGTATGTACTGAGAAAAAAAGGGTGAAATGCTGCCCTAATTTATTTTGCACGTGTGACCAGGCACATTGTGTACGCTGCACACAAACATTAAGTGTCGTTCATGTCCTCCAAACACGAGACTACATCAGGTCTTCATAGTTTGCAAAGTGAGGCGGGCCAGTTGGACCAGTTAGCTACTGCAGGTGTTAATGTTAAAAAACACTACGTTCTCTAAGAAAGTGTTAGCCATCCTGTTTGACTGACAGAAAGCTTTCAACACAACCTTGCCATTAACATATTGGCAGTTTACACAGTAACAGTGCATATTGACACATAGGCTATAGAAAGACTGTTCTCAGACGTCACACATGACTATACATAACAGGAGACATCACCAGAAGATGTTTCTGTAATGACATTGTTAAGTACGACATATTTGGACAATTGAGAGACGTTCATGCTGCTCCAGGCTGTGTACTCGGCTGTTTTCCGATCATAAATGTTCAATTGTTTTCTGCCACAGAAAGAAAATAATGATCATGGTGCTCTCGAGGGCCTGGGTTGATGGCACCTCAAAGAAAAAGAAGTGAAGTGAGTTAAGTGCATAGAAACTGAAGCAAATATTGACTGAGGAGAGTTTTTCAAGAGTGTACAAAATTCAAAGGGCTCAGAGCCTTTGTCAGTCATTGACTGCAGAAACCACTCTGCAAATATTCTGTATGAGACATCTAACACTTTAAATGTGCTGTTAAGGGCAATGAATGACTTATTAAAAAGATACAAGTACATACTCTATTAGGGCCAGAAGATAATATTTAAAAGATCCAGATATTTGTTCATTTTTTATTCATTTGGATATTCAGATTTGAGATTTTTTAGGTTGTGATTTAACATTTCTTGTAGGAAAAGGTGTCAAACTTTTGTGCCTTAAATGAGACAAAAATACATGTTCTGCATCTGAGCCGAGAACAGCTACATGTGTGTCCCTATACGCATCAAACGAATGAAACCTTTAAGTGAAAGTGAACTGAAGGGAGCATCACCATTATGTATCAGGGAAAAACTATAAAGAGTAACCCATGAATGAATACGCTAAAGAACCTGTACAGGTGTCACTTTGATCGGAATAAATCTTTACCAGACACATCTCCACTTTGATCCGTCATAATCTCAAACGCACGGATGTCTCTGATATTTTAATGTCTTCCTGGACAACCCTCTGAACTCTCAGCCCCTCTCTTTCACTCTGCATTCAGTCAAAGCCTCTCATCAGATAGCTGTTTGATACTGTGGAAAATGTGTTTGACAAAAGCTGTCGGGAAGTAAACATGTAGGAGTAAAACCAGAAGGTGGATATCTGATTTTGTTTTGTCTCAGAGAGAAGCCCAGATGGACGGCATGAATATTCATATCTGTGTACTGTTTCCAAATCACCTGAATTCTGCATGATTATCAACAGGAAAGGTGTGTTGGGTTTAGATTCATAATCAAAGGAAATAATATGCATATGCCTGACACTACAAACACTACCAATAAACACATCCTGTTGTGGGGAGATGAGGGAAGTGGATCATTGTATAACTTTGCAGAATTTTGTGTAATTCTTAGCCGGAAAATATGCAATTTTAATTGTTTTGTATGTAACCCACATAATAGCAATTTTAACGTAGTTTTGTTTGGTACCAAGTTGCATTTGTTATTGTACGTAGATACTTTGATTAGTTGGATTACCATGACATTTTGTACAATGAGCCCGATTCTTCCCTTTACATTGACATCATTATACGTCCGTCCAATCTTTTGAATCCTTCACCCTGGATTTAGACTCTCAGGCTACAGACAGTTTTCCCCATTTCTTGGAGGTTTTTAGAGGGCTGTACAAAGCCTGAGAAAAAGTTTACAGCAATGACTTATTGTTTTAAAAGCCCTGAAATATTTTATGCATTTTTTTATGTAAAAAGATAATTTTGTTAATATTCTCAGAAAACATCAGACTCAATCAGTGAAGCACAGACCTCTTACTTCAATCAAATATTTTTTTTAAATATATTTCATACAGATTTTGGAAAATAGCTCAAAATAAGGTCTGTGGTTGAGACACATTGAAGAGACAACGTTTTGTTCATCAGCAGTGACCCCACTGGTGATCTTTGAAGAGTTAACGTGTCTGAAAAACGATGGTTGTTAACAAGTGGCTGAATAGGACTACAGAAGTTGTCGAGGCCGTTGTACGTAAAACAAACGCTTCAACTTGTACAATTTGAATCTGTATTTTTGAATATGGATCTTAAGTTGGCGTGACGTTGAAGCAGCGACCCTGCTGTAGTTCGTTTATAGCATAACATTAGCATTTTGCTTCTGGCGATTAGATTTATGATTCGAAAATTATAAAAGTAGGGTAGACATGTGGATATTATCCGGCTGAACAAAATATGATCGGTCTCTTAAATGTGTGTCAACCACAGACCTTATTTCCAGCTATTTTCCAAAATCCTATGGAGAAATTGTATTGGTTTTTGGTGAAGGAACCGGAAGGAGTTTACTTCCGGGTTTTAGGATGCGTCACTGTGGCACTCTATTGGAATCATATAGTGAGCCAGCTTTGATGTTTTTATGCAAAATTACATCTGGTCAAATTAATATGTTGTTATTACCTAGTGAGATTTGCCTCAATGAATACGATAATTCCTCCCTCTGGAGTACCTCTGCTGCTATGATCATTTGAATGTTAACTCCAGTGTGCGTGAAATCGTCAATGCACACCATGCATGAGAATGATTACAACACTGGAAAATCATTAAATTGACAAAATTGGATCATTAAGCACTTCATTGCTCTTGAATAATGTGCTCATCATCTCAGACTATAAATGGATGCTCAAGTGAGTCAGTGCACGGCTTCATTAGGTAAAAAAAGAGGTGTCATTTTTATAGAGCAAGAGGTAGATGGAAAAGGTGTTATGTCTCTTCAATCCAAGACTCAAGTCAAATACAGCCATGATGGGTAAAAATGGAACTGTAAATTAAAAATGGAAAGGTCTTGATGCTTAGCGACACATCTGGACTATTGACTTCTGAGCCCAGATGCTCTCCTCCTCCTCTTCACCGAGCAGACTCATTAACTGGACTCCCACAGTCTCATCTTTCCCCGAGAAGATTTACAGTTTGATAGACAGTCAGAGAAAAGAGAGCGTTGGACCACAAAAGGCTGTCAAAGTAGGGAGATGTACAAGGCTCTGCCATGTTCTGCTTCTTTCTTCATTTTAATTGCGCAATCCTGCAGGGCCTTATGTTTTTTATGGACAGATCTAGGAACATCCCTGAGTAGTATTTCCCATGAGGCTCTAAGAAATCTTGTCTTTGGCTATGTATCCATCTACTTGGGGGGGTTTTAGCCACAAAGCAGCATGTATCGGTCCTCAGAGGGCATGTAGAACGATGGATGGCTTTCCTAACGCCGAGCAATCCAGACTGTAGCAGCAATAAACGTTTATCTCCTGGCCTTTTGCCCAAGCTTAACTCTTCTGCCTTTTTTTATTGTGCAGCGAGGAGCAGGGAAATGATCATGTTAATTTAAAATGATGGCATATCACAGACACAGACATTATCTACAGTATCTTAGTCTAACGATATCTCTATTTTCCGTACCATTGACTCTGTTTTTTGTTTTTTTTGCCCATGCTAAATAATGGCTCTGTTTTTTACTGCCACCTCCTAATTATTTCATTAATCTCCCAGAAACCACCTTTACAGCTTTAGCCCAGGGGTCAAAGCATTACATGACAAGATTTAAGAACTCTTTTATCCATCATTAGCTAGACTCTGCCCCCCCCCCCCCCCCCCCCCCCTGGCATATTTCTACTTGGATAGTTAGACGGATAAATCCTAATGGTCCAGTCACTCCATGATTTTTTTTGAGGCAAAGTCTATTCATTGGAATAAATAATAAACAAATCCCATCTTACAATGCTGACCTTTAAAAGTGTCAAGGAAGGCTTGACGTCAGAGACCAACTTCCACAAGCTATAGTAGCTAACTGACAAGCTCTGCAAGAAGTTGCTACGTCACTTAGCTCTGACACAACACTTTCCTTTAACTGCAATACCATTTGAATTGACTAATGTATTAAGTTCCAAAATTCCCCAAAACGAATATATTAGATTACCTATAGCACCGATGCAAACTCACATGGTAATGCAAACACTGTTTCAATTTACTGCCCTGCTGAAAGTCTGTGGAGGAAATTTGAACAGTTTTATCCAAATAACCAAATCAGCAAGCAATCTATGTTCCCACTGTGAGCAATCAGTGTAAACGTGGTGTGATTTCACAGCTCTAAAATATGAAGTAACTTTCTGCTTGACGATGCAAATGATAATTACACAATTTCACTGCATTTAGATTGTTTTCACACATTTGGAGCCAGAGGCAAGCAGATTGTTTTCAATTCAGCAAGTGATTCAGTCTATTCATTTCTTACTGACTCTGCCCTGTTGAGATTATTGAGGCACTTCCACAAAATAAACAGATGTTTATAATTGAAATCAAATCAAAAAAATGTTTGTCTAGCTGATTAATGTACCTATTCCTGCCAGAAAGTAGTCCCCCCAGTACTTACCACGTCTGCTCAGAGGCCCCGCTTGGCCAAACGAGGCGACACATGTGGCCAACAGTACCATTGCTTTTCGGGAAAGTCTTGATGGCACTGAACACTGGGTAGGGCACCATGACTATTAGCGAAACCACCCACGTGGCAGCGATGACGCGGTAGGCGTGGGACCGGGTCTGCCACGAGCGAGACTTCAGCGGGTTACAGATGGCGCTGTATCTCTCGATGGCAATGGCCACAAGGCTAAAGGTGGAGATGCTAACTGAGATCCCTGCAGGAAAGAAAAGACAACAAGAAAAACAATTAGAGAATTGTTCTGGTAGTCTATTCAGGACTTCTAAATCGGCAGCCATGAGGCGTGGCCGTGTCTAAAGATAATTAAATCTGCCACATTGTGCACATAGTGCATCCAAACATTTCAAGTAAACCTTGCAAAATATTTGATTAGCTGCATGTGAAAGCATTTGCACAGTAACAAATATCAAAAGATACAGTAAAGCCTCATTGACGACAACTCAAATAGAGTAGCCACATTGACTTTCAAAGACAACACCCTTACCATACAAGAAATGTTTGTCAAATACCGCAAATAACACCGCCATGTCAATCAGGCTTAAACTCTTCAACACAGTTCAAGGCATTTGGAATATTAAATCTATTTCCCACAATAGGGTTAGCACCTTTGTAATTATCCAAGGACACTGCTCCATAGGGTTCAGTGCAAGTTAAATTCCTTCAGAGACAAGGCCAATTTTAATTTGCATGTATGAATATGCATAGTCTGCAGAAGGGGAAAGCAAGCCTTTCGTCTCAGGGTGAGGCGGGCTGAGACAAATATATATATATATATATATATATTTATAAACCCATACCTGCAGCAGCCCCCGGGAATAAATCAGCACACTTATTCTCCGTCGCCATGAAAAGCAAACACATATTAATCCCCAGCCCTTGTTTTTTTACAATGGAAAGAACATGTCCTTCACAAACCATACCTTTGCATTACCATTCAAGGAAGGAAGTCATTATGCATACTCCTATGTTCATGTTGCGACTCAATCTACAGCAGCCATATTAACTATTTGAGTGGTCTATGACTATACAGAACAGTGCATTCTCCGGGATCAGCCTTTGGCGGCGGTCTTTCCTGCAAACCAATCCTTTTCATTATGATAAGCGTTGTTATCAGAAGCTAAAAGAGTAAGGGGTATATTGTCAACTGCAAAATGTGTAACTACGAAAAGAAAGGGAAATGTGAGAATTTGATGTGGAGTCAGATATAGAACGGCTTCATCATATTCATGCTCCTACAGAACAAAGGAGCTGACTACTAGGGATACTCCAGAACAAAGAGAACGTCATCATCACGAAAAGACGTCTGAATGCCTTTTATGCTCCGTGAGCAGACCCAAACTGAGACAGAGACTCTGCTGTGAATTATTAAAAGCATTTCAGCTCTTTGTGAGAAGGCAAACTTTTTGGATTGCTGCTCCACTTACATGAAAGCTGACAGGATACTGCATCGAACCAAATTCACTGGCTTTAAACTTGGGGTTTTCAAATTGTGAATCCTAACATCCAGAGAGCGATGTGAGGCACTGATAATCTATGAGGTGAAGACGACTAAAGTTATATGATATAGCACGTTTACCAACACTTTTCAGTTTATTGCAGTTTGCCTCAGAAAAAGTACCGCCTGAATGCTTAACTAATTGAAATCTCAGCATGATCATTTTAAATTGTAACATAACAATCTCCAAAGCTATGTCTATCTCTGATGTCGTGAATCACAGATAATGAGAATGTCAATGATTATCGATAAATCCACTCACAGAACAAACTCCTTATAACTCCTGAACTTGGCTGAGAATCATTACATTTGTATTTTCCTTTAGTAATTCAGTGATAATTGTCAGCACTGGTAACAACTAATGGTCAATTGAATGGCTTAAAAGAATGGGTTGTTAAAATGCTCCATAGTAGAACACGTTTTTTCTATTTTGGTCAAAGAGCCTTCACTGTCTACAGCAGTAAAGCCTTCCGGAATTTTCCATGACACAATCCTGTCCGATACCAATCAACTAAAATAGCCAGCTCCAGCTCGGACTGAGCAGAAGGAGGTGGGTGGCACAGTCAACAGATGCGGATCTCAACAGTGCACCGGCACTGTGTGAGTCCTGCACAATAAGTCTCGCACACCCACACGTCTCTTTCAAGTGCTGAGCACAGGCACAGACACAGAGAAAGACCAAATCACACACTGGGGGTTTTCTTTTGTTGATGCTTGAAGGCGGTCATGCCCAGCCGCAGCGCCGGCTTACACTGATTGTGAAAATGCCGAACGCAGAAAGGTACGAATGGTTTGTCTTTTCCTCAAAGGAACGATAAAAATAATGAGTAGAAGATGAAAGACAAAAAGCATTATTTATACAGCACTTTTGTAAAGTGCTGTACAAAGCAAACAGACACACTGCAGGATTAAAAGACAGGGAATTATACAGAGAGCATTACAAACAATTGTAGGTAAATGCTGATAGTATTATTAAAGAAACACTTTTAAAGGTCTTGCATAGAAGAAGTTGTAAAGGAATTGTTTAATGAATGTGAAAAAGCTTGTTCACTTCTTTCAGAGGGTTAGACAAGAAGATCAATAGTAGTTTATGTGTGTCAGGTAAATATGAAGCTACAGCCACAAGACTGTTTAGCTTAGCATAAAGACTGGTAACAGGCGAAACCGATAGTGTCTAAATGAGTCTACTACATGTAAATGGCAACCACACCTAACATTAGCCGCCTTTAGCTTAGCGGTGGTGACGCAAAGCCAAACAACCGTGATGTAGTTTGTTTATAGCCTTACGTTAGCATTTTACTTATAGCAATTGCATTTATGCTTCAATAACATGTAAAGATTATCCTGCAGAACAGAACATGGAAGTACCAAATCCCAGGTCAGCCTACAAAAATGAATGTATCCCTGCAGAACTCTTAATGGAAAACCTATCAACGTCACTGAAACTAGCTAGTGTAAAACTTCAACCCTAGTTTTGTTGCATTCTGTTATTTTTAAAAGACAACTTTGAACAGGCATATAAAATAAGTCGTTCTTTTTTAGCAGAACACACATTAAAATGCAATTTTTCAATGCAGGAGGATACATGAAAAAGAGGCGATAGATTAGCCCAGGGAGCCCTATTAGACGTTGGATCCTGTGTGAAACAAAGCCACATCTCCAAATGAGCGATGTTTTCAAACCCTACACTTATAAAGACTGATCGCTCAGAGGTTGTGCACTTTCATACTGAAAGGAAGTGCACTTCCAGGTGATCTATGGCACTGATACCGCAGTGATTTGAATTGATGACACAGTAAAAGGTACGCAGACAGCTCTAAGACGAGTGTGCATCTAGTCTGAGGGATTATGTTCCTGTCCAGGAGCATTATAGGACCTGCATTCATCAAACCTCTCAGCACCTCAGTCCTGGTTCACATGACAATTTGTTTTATTACTGGAAGGGGAAGTCAACACTGATAAGAGATCAGCGGCAGTGATAAAGCAATTTGTTTGGCCTCTGAAGAAGAGTTATGGAAATCTTTAACACATTTTTAAATGGACCGCAGCAACTGTAGAATGTATCAATACTCTAGAGGAGGCAGGCAGCTCTTCAATAACACTGCTGCTCATGTTGGACCCATTATACGCATGTCTCTATTTTTGTTGTTATTGTTGCAGAAAAAGTATGTTCTAGTTGAGTTTTCTGACAGCCGTGCTGATCAAAGCTTCACCCCCCTTGGAACCTGGCAGTATTGAGAGGCTATTCTTAGAGGGGAGGATATTCTGCTGTGATTATGAACAAGTTGGAGCCAAGTTAATTACCGGCCAACTAACCGACTAAATGCTCACATTTTGCCTCTGCGCTGTATCTTCTCTCCTCGGGAGGAAGGAGCTCTAATCCTTTTTCTTGTTCATTAAGTCGGGCGAACACTCCACACTTCTTGATAACTGGCTTTTGAGGGAAACTGTGAAGCCTGGAGTCGAGGGTCTTTCCGCTCACCTCAACCCAGGGGGAAAGATTTACATTCCTCAGCTGAAACTGCGCCTGTTATTTCTCAGCTTACACCAAATTCTCCCAGGTTGCCATAAAAAGGCAGAAACAACTCTACAAGTGGAATGAATGTGCTATGCAGACAGCACTGAAAAGTTTGCGATAAGCCACAAAAGTTCAAATACATTATTCATACTGCACCTCTGGGGGAGCTGACACACTAAGTAAGTTAGTGATTGCATCATACGATCAGCAAGAAAAACACAAACATGGATGAATGTGTTCGAAGGCCCTACACATACATAACTGCACGCGGAATATTACAACATCGATCTGGTAACTGCCAGCGAAACAGTAAGCGGGCTATTATTCACATGATTATCGAGCGAGGGACAGATAGATGGATGCATAGATGGACAGTGGAAGGATGGATGGCGTATTATATGTCCAAAGGGTGTGTGCTAACGGATGAGTTTGCAAAGGATATATGAGTTTGCCGAACAGGTTGAATGAGTGAGGATGGTCAAGATGATCCTGTGTATTGATTGGCTGATGGAAGGCCTTGCTCATGAGATGCTCAGATCACAGGGAGCTTTGATTGATATGGATTTTACATGCTAGGCTGATATTTGTAGAATATAAATGAACAATTTTCACATCAAGAATTACAATGATTCTGGGTTCACTGCAAAGGCAGAATCAGACATGCTGTCATTCTGGGGCTGAATTACTTAGTGGTGGAGCCATGGTCTAGAGCAGGGGTGTCCAAACTACGGCCCGCAGACCATTTTGAATCGGCCCTCAGCAAATTAAAAAACTTCTGCTTGTCTTATATTGTACTTCTTAAATATATATGTTCAAATATATTACACAGTATTCATGTGTTAAATCGCCCAATTTTCAAATAAATTCAGTCAATTAAAGTTGGAAACATTTTCTAACAAATCTAAGCTGATAAGAAAAAAGCCCCAACCTTGAAATATACCCTTCATATTTCCTCTTATGGTAAGCAATCTGAGGCTTCTGTTTTAAGGAATGAGCTGCTAACACAATAACTGAAACCCTCTGGAGAGCTGTGAAGCATTTTCAAGTATCAAGAATAATTTACCTACATCGGATTGAATTCTCCAACTTATAACTTAACTTATGAGGCAATATAACTGACTTCTAGTGAGTGGCCCAGCCCTTCGTATGTTTTTCTGTATGTGGCCCTCGGTGGAAAAAGTTTGGACAGCCCTGGTCTAGAGACAAATGTGCTTGGACTACAAACGCCTCTTTTTCATGCCTATGCCTGTGACAGCCATGACCAGTGCGGCGGACTGCTTGGTGAACACCATATCTCAAGAACGCCTTGAGGGTGTTTCTTCAAGTTTGGCACAAATGTCATGGATGAACTGATTAGAATTTGTAGTTGGAAGTTTTTGCCCATAACGCAATAATTAATTAATTGTTGTTAATAATGTCCACAAGGTTTAGTGATGTTATTTTGGACTAGCATTGAACTGCAACTCGGCTGACAATTTCTTTTTGCCATTTTCCATATATTTCACAGGATGAAGTCCAGTCCTGACATGCAACGAAGGTCCCATCCTAAGGCCAGAATTGTTGAAGGTAGGTCATGCCTGGTAACTAATCCCAAGGCCCACCAAACACTACTGTTTAAAGGTCATACATAACAAGATTCAGAACGTTGTAAGAGAATTGTTAGAGAATGAAAACTATGGGCAGAAAACACGAAGCAACACCAAGAGAGACTGTAGTATTTGTGAAAATTGCTGCTTATACCAGCTGAATAAAGCTCCTTTTCTGTTTGTGGGGTCTTGCAGGGTTTCTTTCTTCTTTGTACAGTAAGCTCTGTGTACCATTTACATTTGAGTCTATTCAGAGTTGAAGGGGGAAAACTAGTACTAGTGAGCTTTCCGACTGTCAGTTAGATCAAGACTCTGGAGGCCAGCCTTTCCTCCAGAGGTCGGAAAGCTCACTAGTACTAGTTTTCCCCCTTCAACTCTGAATAGACTCAAATGTAAATGGTACACAGAGCTTACTGTACAAGCTTTAAGAACCAGATAATTTGCAATTTTTGTTTAAAGTGCACCTATTATGCTATTTTTTAGGCAATAGCATAGGTCTCAGATATATAAAAATATATAAAAAAACATGTCTATGAAGTGTTTTGCTCAAAATACCAAACAGATCACCCATTCTAGCCATGCCTCATATCCCTATATTTCACTTCCTGTTTCAAAAGTGCTGATTTGGGGTATAAAGCTTTAAAAAAAAAAAAGGAGAGGGCTGAACTCATGCGGGACCCGGCAGCTACTGTCTAAACTAAATACTGCCGTGATGAAACGCCATATCATGGATTATCAAGGATTATTTCTGAAACAGTATGGAGCTCAAAGGCTTTCTCTCTTGCCGGTTATACCACAAGGTGAGTTCCTTTTTATTTGCTGCTTCTTCACACACATGCTCTGTGCAGTGCAGGTTAGCTCTGAGTGTTAGCGATGCTAATGTAAACATGCACCGACCATATTACGTCCAAAGCAGTCGGGCATTGTTTCTGATAGCAGTTTCTGATAGGGCCGTGGGTGTAAAGCCAGCCTACATTTCAGATATTACGTCATATCGGAAGCAAATCTGGATCGACACACCGGGGACACACATTTATGTATAAAAGACATAAAAAAGTGCATTTTGCATGATAGGTCCCCTTTAACATTTATTCTTTCGGGGGCTATGGCTGCTAATGGGTCTCCCCATCATTTTATCCTTGTTGATTGAATCTCAAATACAGCTCTTTCATCATCTTTTAATTCAAACCTAGACTAATGAAAGTCTTAAACATCGCAGATAACATTGTGTTGTTGCTGTTCTGAGGTAGCTGATAAAGGAAGTATCACATATGCAGTGGAGGACATCCAAGTCATTATTCACAGTTTAAAGTGATTCATTGTCTAAAAATCATTACTTATCAGTTTAGCACTTAACTTGAATATATTACAAGTTTACATGAAAAGTGTTGGACAAAGCGGACAAATAACTAAAGGTTTGTGTTTTAAAGTCTGAGGATGTTGCCCCCCCCCTCCTCCTCCTCGTTCTTATCACAGCTCAGAGAACCCAGTAATTGAAAAGAAGCCTTTCCTCACAGATGGTGCATCGCATTTCCTGGACTATAATAGGATTGCGGACCTCCCCGTTCAATAGCTCTGATCAACCATACCAAGCTCAAAGTGAGGCCGGGAAAGTTCCTTTGCCGTGTCTTGCCGGTGTGACTCAGACCTCACGTGGCACCTTCACTCCGGCCTGATGGGAGCCAGCTCATCGCTCAGTCACACTCCTGAAGACGTGTGACTGCTCGAGCTCTTTGAGCATGATGGTTACCCTCTGACAGGCAAAATGAAGCCCCTAGAAAAGCCTGGCGTAAAAGCTCTTGTAAGATATCGAGCAATTTTCCGGCAGGATTCTAAAGCCGGAGCAGTTTCTGATCGGTTGACAGCCACAAAAAAGTCCATATTTCTGTTCTGGGATAATATGCTTTTTAACCCTGATCATTCTTTAACATAACAAATGGATTAATTTCATCTTGCCTTTCCCGACAGCTCTGTTCAGTGTGATTAGGAAGATAATGGACCAATTTCCTGCGACTCATAGCATTTCATTTAAGAATTGACTGTGACAGATAACAGCCAGCCTGGCTTTACCCAAAGGTAGCAAAATCACCCTGGCAACAAACTCTTGGCAGGGAAGTGAATTTTTCATCCTCACCCATAAAGTAGGTGACGGTCTTGCACATGGCCGCTCCGAAGATGAAGTCCTCCAGGATGTTGGGGATGAGGGTGAAGGGCATGCAGAAGACGGCCATCATGAGGTCGCTGAGCGCCAGCGACAGCAGGAAGGAGTTGGTGACGGTCCGCATGCGCTTGTTCAGCACCAGGACCACGATGATCAGCAGGTTCCCGAAGACGCTGACCAGGAAGATGAGCGAGTAGAGCAGGATGCGGAAAGAGTCCATTTCTGAAAAAGGAAGATTGGAAGATTGATCAGAATCTTAGAAACAAAGGAAGCACATTTGTCGAAGTGAGGTACACAGCTTCAGATCAATGAGAAACACAGATTGAATTCTGCCAGGAATATTTATTTATTTCATCAAAACCTCTCTGTGCCAGTTTTTCTGGGTTTCATGAGTCACCACTAAATGTTTAATGTAACTGGGAACAGAAATACATGTAAAAAAGCAGAGGACAAATAGGAGGCAGAAGAGGGAGATACTCGCTGACAAAAGACTTCCTCAAGAGACTGAACATAATCAAATCCAAAACGTTTTCTTCATCTGTATGCAGGTGTCAGTGCTCTTTCTTGTAATCATTCAAGAAACCCACAAGATAGCGACACCTCGAATAATAAAATAAGATGTTAATATGAAAAAAATGACATCAATATACGAAGAGAACATGCTCAGGTTTTTCACCTGGGAAATTACACTCCGGGCGCTAGTGTCGTACCAGACAAAATAAACATTGCATAATCAACAAATTGTGCTGGTGACAATACTTTCCTGCTCCGGCTGTGAGCCAAATTATAATTAGCAGCATAATAATCAGAAAAATATGAAGACAAACAACATCATGATCAGGTGGTGTCCTGGGAAACGAGCTCAACATGGAAAACAAATATGATAATTAAAAATATTTAAACATCTTTCCTTTTCCTTGTGTCATAGCAATAACCCAACATGGACAATTTCTCTGTAGAACAATTCCATGTAAGCAAAACTATGAATTTAAATATTATACACATTTCAGGTTCATATTCGTATTTTGTGCTTCTACTGTCACGTACATGCTTTCATGTTCAAAAAGTGCGTTTAGAGACCATTTACATGCACAAAAACCTTTTTAACACACTACAGGAAAGGAAAACCCCCTCAAAAAGCATCATAGCCTCTTCTGATAAAAAACAAATATAGTTTATTTACATGGCTTCCTTGTTTTTGCCACACAGTTGAGCATCAGTGAGAGCATAATGCCAGCCGGAGGGTTTTTGGGATGCTCCCTTCACTCACTCGCTTGTCACTGCGAGTCTGTGTGTGAATGAGAGTATCTAACAGGACAGGGTCAGGGCTGGCCATGATGTAAGACAAGGACTTGGAAGAAGGCTAAAGGTCCTCAGCACAGCCTGCAGACACAGAGCCAAATGTCACCTTGAAGGCAAACATGCTCATGAGGAGAGAAACAAGGATTCAAACAGTACTGTATGTGCCATCAGAATAGGCAAACTAAAAGGCTTTACCATGCGGTTATTCCATCTAGACTTTGTATTTATTTAATAACCGTAAAAACGCTACGAAAATACACACTCTCCCTGCAACTCATAAACACACTGGCCTATTTACAGACATGATTCCTGAGCATTGTCCTTATGAATAAAATAGCGGATGTTTTTAAACACCTTTTGTTAAGCAATAAGACGTTATTGCAAGTTTCGTTTATCTACAATCTGCAGAGGAAACGACAAAGATAAAAGCAGGCGGGGGATTTAAACCTAGGACAAGAGCAGGATGCATGTTAATCACCTCTGCCGTCAGAGACACCCAGTCCCCCTCAACTGCAAGTATGAATTATTCCTTTGATGAGAGAATCCTCTGGGACCAGTTCCATCAGAAGATTGACAACGCGGTCCAGTTAATCTAAGCAACATCCCCCTTTGTTTCACTCACTGAACGATACATTTTAAACACAGGTGACAAGAGTTTTGATTTACACAAAAGCATTATGGGGAATATGCATAATCAGCACTCGCTTGGGAGACTTCCTACACAAACACAGAGCAGGTAGCCCCCACTGGCACCGCAGCTTCTTTTATGTTGGATCATAAGCTAGTGGAAATGGAATTATCTATTCATTGAGCACCAGCTATGTTGGCTCCCCTGGGCTTAAGGACTGCAGGATAATTCACTTTCGATCCTTTGACTCCCCCAAGCGTGACAGCTGCATTCAAATCATCTATAAATACATGCCGATAGAAAGATGGCCTCTATATGCAGCAGGAGTTGTTGACGTGGAACATTTTCGCCGTGACCCAGGGCGGAGAGATCAACACTTATGTGAGGGTTGTGGCTGTTTATTTAAACACTGTTTGCTTTACTTTCGCTGTGTATCCTTTCAGCTGCTGCCATGCAAACTGTAATTAAGTTTCATCACTTCACTTAGTGTTATCTTTAGGAGAGGATTAGCACGACTTTAAAGACACGACGAGGCATTTATAAAGGCATTTATTTAGGGATGTGGAGGAGACTCCTGTTCAATTCCACTCCAACAAAACATTCCTGTCCCGTGGCATTCCCATGCAAATGTTATGCTACACCAGGGGTGTCAAACTCAAGGCCCGGGGGCCAAATCCGGCCCGCGACTTCATTTTCTGTGGCCCCACAAGAGCTTGCAAAGAATATAATATGTTTATTATACAGTTACAATACATGGCGATTTACAGAAGCACGTTGCCCATAAACTACATGTCCCACAATGCATCTCAAAATGTGACTTTTTTCTTAGAATTTTGACATTTTTTTCCAGAATTTGGCTTTTCTTTTTAAATCATTTTGTGACATTCTCACTGAAGAGACTTCCAATTATTTGCCCTATCTTCTGCTTTCACAGGTAGTTAATTATGAAGTTATTACCCTATCCGATAATAATCCAATGCAGAGGCAATAATGTAATATAATACATTATTTTATATATATTAAATATTTATATATGTATTTTGATATAGTCTTAAAGTTACAACCGGCCCTTTAAGTGCAACCATAATGTGAATGTGGCCCGTGATGAAATTGAGTTTGACACCGCTGTGCTACACCCTTTAAATCGAGGAGCATGAAAGTCAGGCTAGTACTTTTTCCGTTATTCTGCTTGTAAAAGAAAAATCACCACTTTGTCTGAGATCATTAACGATCAGTAATAATCTTAGAGGCGATGACTGAGATGTCACAATTCTGAACTACCTTTCCCCTTTTAATCAAAACTTGCCTTAAAGCAATATTTTATACCCAGCCCCTCTGAGATGATGAAATTGTAGAAATTACTGTCAATCTAATGTTATTCTTTATTACAAGTGAGCAGAAAGCCCTTTGGAAATGAACCTGTAGAGCACTAGACACGAGTCAGGAAATGAGACCTGGACTTTTGGGAGTCTGCAACTAATTCCCTTTTCTTAATTATGTTATTTCAAACTTATATGACATGGTCCTGAATGAACTGTCAGTGAATGTGCGAGCACTTTTTGTCCTGGTGAATGACAAACGGTATTAATGGACTGTTGATCAATTGATGGACTGTTTGTTTCGGCACCATTTTGAACACAAATATCCAGTATTTCCACATACTGTTGTCGTCATTTTTTGTTCAAACATGTTTTACAGAACTTTTGACCACTAGTTGTACTCTTGGGCTATTCTTTTAAGAGTTGGTCCCCATTTTGTTCAGAAATTGTACATTTTCTAGCTGCCAGTTTAATGATGGTCCACTGAGGATGAATTAATGGTGTGTCTCTAATGTGTCTTTTGAAGGGTTTTTGGAAAGAAATGTGCTTAAATTGTAAAGCTATAACGCTGATATGTTCAAACACATCATCCTTATATTCAGTTTGGCAGCTTTAATATTACAGAAATCAGTCACATATGATTACATTTCATAGATCACTATTCTGTTGAGAGCAAAACATCGTTAAAATACATTTCCATTATAATTACAAAGAGTCTCTTTCGGAAAGTCGGAGAAAAACATATTTTTCAGAGATAAAAAGTCCTCAAGTCAAGAGACAAACAAATATATCAATGTCAAAATGTTCCCACATCCCGGACGGTGTAATCCCTCAGTGACAGCAGAGGAATAGAATATAAGATGATCCAAGTAGCTAGATTGCATTTTCACATTTGATTCACTTGGATGTGTTCCTGATGTGATCATTTTTGCAGGAAGAGAAAATAAAAACAAATCAACCATCAGATTGTTGTGCTGTAAGATGTAATTTACCTTCTATGGTGTTTATCCGCTCGCTAGCACACAAAAAAAAAATTGGCTCCATTTGACTATGTTTTGAAATCGAATAATCAATTTTTTCTAGAAGGCTTTGCAAGTACGACTACTGGCTTGTTATTACACATGTGTTTCCTTATAGCCATTAATGGTGGTGTTTTGGAGTCATTTCATCCCTAACTAGTAAACACTCCAAATTGGAATACTAACATGCTCGGTATGAATGTTTCCTCGGAGGGGGAGGTTGCTTTCGATGCCAGAAATGTGTCGACACTGCCAATAAATCAGCATCTTACATCACACAGCGCTGGCTGTAATCCCTATCATTCTCTCACTGCTTGTCACGGCTAATCAGTCGTGCCTCTTCTTAAATCGCAGTAGAAAGTTTCCAGAGTTGACGCCGTGTCTCGCATGCTAACAGATCCAATCAAAAGATAGGGATTGTGCTTTTGACCTTTACATCACAAGGGACAGGCACGGTCACTGAATGCCAAGCTTTACTTTGTGTAAGGTTGATAGACTAAAGGGATCAAACTGAATCTGTGGGATTAATAACAAAAATACAGTTTCTTATTTAGCGCTGGAACAAATTAAGAGACAACTGGTTGATTAGTAGTTTATCTAGATAAACATTTTATAGGTATGTGTTTAAAGAGGCCCTATTATGTTTTCAGGGGTTTTCCCTTTCCTGTAGTATATAGGTGGGTCTGCATGTAGTCTGCAAAGGCTCCAGAGGGAGTTCCTCTCACACACATTCCCCCCCCTGTCTGAAACACCCCATCTATTGGACTCATTTGATCACCTCCGTAGCATAGTGACATCACTATATAACACTCACGCTTCTATTGGCTAGCGCTCCAACACATTGTACGATTACAGAACAGTTGACAAAAAAAAAAATTTGGAAGTTTAACAATATAAGACAAAGCTATGAATTTTACTCCAACACATATCTACACAATGTAAAACCTTTTCATA